TACCCCTTTACTTTCTTTTTTATATTTTTAAAATTTTTCAAATACTATTTTAATTTAAAAATAAAAGGAAAAGAAAATAATTATCCTCTCTCTCTCTCTCTCTCTCGATTGAAATGTTTCTTCTCCAATACATTAAAACTACATCGATCAACAATCCTCCAATTCAACCTAATTCAGGGATCTCAAAGCACATACACACACAGACGAACACAAAATCTTCCAAACCCAAGCACTCTATACCTCTCATTGAATAGCAAGACACCTACTGTATCTGGTGTTCTGATTTGGATCTCTCGGACCTTGTGCTCTGATAACGATTCCATCATCGACACATCCATGTCCGATATCCTCTCCTTTTCTTTCTGGTTTGGATCTCGTATACTCGAAAATTATTTCACTAGGGATAAAGTTGAAGAAATTATTATTGGGTTTGGAGTTCACGAGAGAACTTGTGATGAATCAAGATCGTTCACAACACTAGAAAGAATCCCCGTTGCTACACCCTCTTACATCTTCATCCCCTTCTTTAAGAACTCGTTTCCCCATTTTAATCGATCTATAGTCACATCCCCACTCCACAAAATCCCCTTCATTAACTGACTTGATCCTACAACAATCATCCTTGCAACAAACCCACTGTAATCCTCAACATTTTGTGACAACATCGTCTGCCAAGGTTTTTTTAACAACATCAAAAGAGAATAAGGTGATTGTTCATGGTTGTTGAAATAAAAATCATATCTTTACAGATAATTTGATAAACCCACTTGTGGTTGATCGAAGAAAGTTAAAATTGAGTAAATCTTGCTCATATACCTCAAAGGATTCTACTTGAAATTTATAATGAAAATCAATGTTACTGGGCAATCAAAGCCCGACTTTCACCTTCAAAGTTCATGCCACCAGCATTAGATGCAACCACCTCCACCCATCATCTCCACACCCATGTTCTTCGAATCAGGTACCACCTACAAGTTACAATCATATTCAATATAACCATGTTCATCGTCCTCTTCTGTTTACATCATGACCTTGTTCAACATATCACCAGACCTGTGGATCGAGAGAAAGGGTAAGAGAGATCAGAGATTAGAGTTTTACCCATTTTGGGGTTTTAGTGAGAGAGACAGAGAGAAAGAGAGAGACGTAAGAGAGATAGAGTTTTATCCATTTTATTATTATTATTATTATTATTATTATTATTATTATTATTATTATTATTATTATTATTATTATTATTGAAATGTTAATAAAATGTAAAAAAAAATGTAAAAGTAAATAAATACGGGATAACCATCTTTTTATGTTTTTAGGACAAAAAACAACGAAAAACTTTGATTTTGGACCTTCTATGCAAGTGAAAAACTTTTAGGACCCTATCCAAAGTTTTTTGAATACCACAGAGACCAATCTTACAGTTTTGTCTCAATCCATTTATCACATTAATTAGTTTTTTTTCTAATCTACAACATATACTTATATTTCCAACTCATTCAATCTATTTGTCACGTCATTATTATTATTACTAAATTAGATGTAAGACCCATGTATTACATGAGTTAATAAAAAAAAATTAGATACAAATGTTTAAATATTTAAGAACATTTGATTTATAAGAAAATAAGAAGAAAAATGAATTATTAAAATTGATTTTCTTTATCTTTTAAATTTGAATAAATAAACAAAATAAACTAATTAGCTTTAATTTGGGAATTTTTAAATAAATGTGTAAGTCCATTAATGAAATTGATATTCATTTATTACTATATTTATTGTAATTATTACCTTAAAGCATTATGTGAAATTTATTAAAATAGAAAAACCATAAATTGACATGTGGAAAAAAAATTAATTTAAAATAACCACAAAATGACATTTGTCAAATTGAATGAGAATGTGACATGTGATAGAAATGCATTCATTTATTAGAGGATACTAGTTTATAACCAGTGAGAAACACGGTTATAAAATTAATTAAATTTTAATATTAAAAAATTAAAATTATTAATAAATTATTTTAAATAAATTATTATTTAAGAGATATTTTTTTGTTATATAAAATTATAATTGTTGATTTAAATAAATAATTAATGTTATATCACCTTATAATCTGTATTAATTTTATTTTATTTTTCAATCTAATGTTATGAATTTAATACAATTAGAGTGGAAAAATTATAATTATAAACTTAAAATAGGTAAGCAATTATTAATTAGTGTAATTATAGTGGAAATTTAAATTTTGAAATTTAAATTGGATAATTAATAGGTTGACAAATGACATAATTGGTGATATATAACATTAATGACGAGCTCTATTTATATGACACTTGTTAATATGAGATTAAACCTATTCTTTTATTAAAATAAGGATTAGAAATTTGAAAATAAGATACACATACATATTTTAATTAAAAAAAATACTACAAAAAAATACACAATAAAAAACAATAGTAAAAATCCACGATAATTAAAACAAACACAATAATAAAAGACAACATAACATTTTAAAACTCTCAACCGTATATTTGAGTCTTTATCTCCTTCTCCAATAGTTGAGCTTTTCTATGCTTTATTTTCTTGAAAAATACGTAATTTTATTTTTATCTCGGTATCGTTTTCTCTCTTCTACCTTTGTTTAGTTGGCAGTGTTCATGTTTATTAATGTGATTTTCAGATAATTTGGTGTTAATAGGACGTGCATAATAATTTCACTAATTAGAATTTAATAATTAAATATTTATTTAATAAAATATTTTGTTAAAATCTATAAATGGTTTTGAATTTAGTATAGACAGAATCAGAGTAGTTTAGATATATATTAGATTTTCCGATAGAAAGACATTTATATTTAAAATTTTTATTGTGAGAGATTTGCCTTTAAAAAAACATTTATATTTAAAATTTTATTTTGAGGCAATAATTTATTCTTAGTATAAATTCAAAAACTACAAAACATTTTAGTTGCATAAATTTTAGATCCTTATTCAGGTATAACTAGAAACTTGCCCACCGCGCGTTGCGGTGACGTCCATCCGTTTTGTAAGTTCAATTTTTGACGATTGTATTGCTAAAAATTTTGTATCGTTGCATTTATTGGTAGATAAATATACATGTAACATCTGGAATTTAGAAGTTCAATTATGAAAATAAATCATCTTTTCTAAGGGCCAACTCGTCGAGTTCTAAGAGGGGAACTCGACGTGTTGGTGGTCTTTGGCACGCGCATTCCTAAGGACCAACTCAGCGAGTTGGTGAAAGCAACTTGACGAGTTGGACGTTGTTTGAGAAACCCTAATTTTTAGAGTCTTGCACCCTATTTAAGAGTTTTAAGTTTTTTTCTTGGCCTCCTTATGAGCCTCTACTGTTCCCAAACACCTAAATCGTATTTTAGCCTCCACTATCAAGCATTTGGACCTTGGAGAAGAGCTTGATGTCCATTTTGTGCCTTGTGAAGGGGAGAAGAAGATCTTGAAGTTTCAAGCTTGGAGAAGGAAGCTTTGGAATTAAAATGACTCCATTTTTGTAGTCATTTCGAGGTATCAACTTCAAACCTTAATTGGTATATGATTAGATCTTCTCATTTGGGTTTTGATATGTGCATATTTAGCTATATATTTTGCGTAGAATCTTAATACTTTTTTGCTATTTTATTTCAATTAATGAACAAAAGGTACTTAACTATGCTTAAATTGTATTTTTCAGCCTAAAAGACGTGCTCGGAAGCAAAAGGAAGCGGAAATGGCAATCGGAAGCTCGGGAATTGAAGAAAGAAGAAAAATAGTCAAAAAACCTGAAGACTTCGACGACTTGGACGCCTACTCGACGAGTAGGCACGGACATTCGCGAACCGTTGGTTGCCTTACCGCACACGGGTTTTAAGTGGGGGGCTCAGCGAGTCGGTCTATGGACTCGATGAGTCGCCCCTGTTTTCATAAAACTATATAAAGGGCATAAAATCACTAGACAAGGACTTTTCTCTAGAACCCTTGGAGACTGAATTGCGATTGAGAGTGCAGCTGGAGCTCTGGAAACCTTGGATCAACCTTAGCATTTAACTTTGAGTATATTCTCTTTTCTTAATCTAGTGTTTCTATCATGTTTGAATCATTAGGTTTAGTTTGTGAGATATTTTCTGCTAAGAATATGAGCTAAAAACATCTTTGCTTCTGTTCAGGGTAGACAAACTTATAACTATGGTCTGAATTTTATGGCTTGGATTGTTTAAATTGATGAATTTTGTTTTGTTAAGCTTGTTAAAGATCCTTATGTGTTGACAATAACTATTTTTTGTTAATTATTAAGTCTACTAAGTTGCATGAGCATCTCTTAATTGCTTGTCTCATATAATTTATGTGATAACAATATTATATGCCTATGAATAGTGAACATGAAACTAGGGTTCATTAGAAAATAGGTAAATCAATGTGTGAGCTTGTGTGATGAACAAACATACAAGAAGTTAATTGAATTAGTAATTTAATTAGCTAACTACAAGTCTTACTTAACCCGGATCAATAAACTAAGAAACTCATTAGTTTATCCAATTGACCACTATTTGAATTGATTTGTTTTCTAAGGATTAGTAATTGTGAACATGAACCTAATCACATTAATTGGTAGCCAATGACAAATTAATCCATTGCACATACCATACAATCAACCATAAGAATAAGTAAGTTAAACCTGAATAGAAGTCTCCTTTATTATTGAATTTAGTTGATTTTTATTAGCTTTAGCTGTTAATTATTTTGTTTGAGTGTTAGTTAAGTGTTTAAGTTTCTAGTCTTGCAAAACTAGAGAAAACCTTTTTCTTTCATTATTTGTT